TTTAAAATTGTAGCTAAGCGAAATGTTCAGTTCAGTTTTATGAGAAAAATTGGATAGTTTCCACCCAAATTTATCCTGCGGCATACTTTTATACGCAAGGCCGCATGTCAGTTTACCTATCTTGTTGACTATTCCTAAAAATGCCGACCTAAATGTATTCTATTTTATGATGCTCTATAAACTGTGCGAATTTTGGAGCCTTTCCGCCTCACCCGTATTCGAATTTGTTCTGGAGCCCTTAGTTATTGTACTCCCATATTTGTTAAGTGGAAAATGTTAGTATTCGTCTTATAATCCGAAAATTGAAAAAAAATGTGATGACAACAATGCGAAATGCATTCAGGTTTTAAAACACCTAATAATATTCTACTTTTTTGATAAATTTCCTTCCAAAGTATACAAGAAGTGCACTCGTTTTAAACTCTTAATTGTGACCCCTTATCAAGATCGAATTTCGTATTTTAGTAAAAGCAGAAGGCCCCTACTTATTTCTAGAGGAAAAGTGCTTCGTTTGTTCCTTAAACTACAAAAAAGTCAAGGGCGAGCCAAGCCTTCAAATCCATCTAGGCAGCGATCCTAATGAATTCATAGAAAATGTCAGTTTGACATTTAAGCATTGCCTGAGGCGATGTGTGAGTGTTGGTCATGCAAACAATCCTACACTCTTTGCTGTGGATCCAGCAAAATGTGTGCTCAAGTGCAAAAGGACGCATTAAAAATGGAACAGCGTCGGAATTTCCTTTTCGCTTTAGAATTAGCAATGCAATTATTTTCCGTCCAAACAACTTGCTCCTTTAAATTTCTGTCTACTATTGGAAAGGTATATGAAATTAAAGTAATTTTTAATGCAACGGATCATTTCTCTCAAAGTTGAGCAGCAGTACGTTCAACAAAAGTCGGATAATTCTTTGTTTCGGGGCGAGGAGGAGGAGAATGCTGGCTTGGCAAATTTTGAGCTGATCAAAAATTACACCTAATTTATCGGAAAAGTCAAATTTTGCCGAAAGATCTTAATTCGGCATATTTTTTTCAGGCTTCAAATTAAATGCGATATTTGCTGAAAATTCAAATTTACCCCTTTCTTAATGTATCTGTAGGAAATAATTATATATGTTTGTGAAGGTCTTTTTTTGATGAATACCCATCCTTTAGCTATTTCAACGAATCCCGTTATTCTTATTTGTAGCGGTCCCAAATTGTTTTGCAAAATTCGAAGTCTATTTAACAGATACGCTGTAGCGCTCTGAGTATTACTTGAAGACGGAAGAAGTTATAATGCTAGGGCGGAAGGTGTATTGCCGACGTACAGGAGTGGGAGCTACTGATATGGCCAGGAGGCCATGCCGCCCGGAAAAAGTACAAAGGCAGAGCTTTAATTCCCGCGAAACGAAAGCGAAGAGCTAAATAAATGCTTAAATTATTACAGCAATTTATCAAAGTTGGGTAATTTTTATTCCCCTATTACATTACCGGAGCTGACTGAATTTAATATAAGTTGACTTAACTATTCGTTAGTGGTGAAACCTGATTTTATTTGGAGAATTCATTCATTCTGTCAAAACTCGTTTTTACATGACAAAGGGCGTAAAAAATAGGCTCTTCGCAGTGAAATGGTGGAGTACTTATGTTTATGCGATTCCCTAAAGCTGACCTTTTTTACTTTTAAAAAAAAATCGCTTGAGGAGTTGTTACATTTCTTTTTGCATCTTTGAATGGATTACCTTTTTCTATATCTGCGCTGCGTTTGTGGTTGTACTTCATTTAATCTGAAAAATTAATGACAAAATTACTCCTTTTTTCCTTAAAAGCAAGCCCTGATAATTGAGTTTTAAGTGAAGAGACGTTGTAGGCTAAATTAAAAATTTGAATTCGACTTGTAAAATCCATTACAATCTCACTAGGAATCTTTGCAACTTTGCTCCATTTAGGAAGATTTTTATGCAGGCCTTTTGACGAATTTGTTATTCACAGAGAAAAGACGGTGTATGAATGGAAGTCCTGCTATGGTTAGCTCAATTTCGGCGGCAGTTTCCGCTTTATGACGGCATTTGCCACGATTTCTCCCGTAGCTTGATAGCCTCCGTTCTTCCTGCAACTTTCACCACCATATAGTTTTTTCTTCTCCACCCGAGCAACCCATACATTAGTCATTTGTTTAGTCTTACTAAATTTCAGTCGCTCATAAAATGTCAGTCCCTCTATTTGGTCCTACAAATGAGTTTTGGGTCCATTACTTCGCGTGGTTTTAGGATTTTATGCAGAAGCTTTTATTTGCCATTCTAAGTGGTTCAACTGTTTACCCGTTTGGGAACATGGAACCTCTTACTATAAATATTCCACTTTTATTTGTTATGTACATCGTTTTGCACAGACTTTAAGTCCCCATTTCCAAAACAGTGAGAACATACTTGAGTAGATATCGGGAGAGTGAGTCTGGTTCATTTTGGCTTTGCAACTTTTTTTTCATTCTAGTGAGTGATTTTGAATTGAGATGTCAACTTATGTTCGTAGGCACTCTTTTCACAGAACACGGGCTGTTACTTAAAAATTGAATAGTCAAGACAAAGCTATTAGATAAAAATTAATTGAGTTGTTTTAAGTCTTGAGATTCAGAAGAGGGTCGATTTAGGGGTAGTAAAAATACTGAAGTAACTGAGTTGCGAATTATTTTGCAATGGCTTCTAATGAATGTTTTCTCCGACTAAACACCGCGTCTCCAAGGTTGGTTCTGCCAACAATTTTTGGGATAGCGATAGCAACGCTATGCCTCGTTTTATGGTGGTGAAACAGGCACTTAACTGAGAGAACGTGTAAAATAGAATAAGTGTTATTTGTAATTCATTCACATTTATTACCTCTTGACATATTCTAGTATCTGCAAAGCATGTTTTATCCACTAAAAAACACCATAAAGTTGCGTTCACAGAGACGGCTTTTTTCATTCGCACCTGCATGATAGAGTACTGATTAATCAAAGGTAAAATATTTACCAGCGACTCCAAAATTTCCATTCGTCTGCACAAACGCAAATTAAAATAATAGAAAAGTAGTCATCACAGAGAAGAGAGGGCACTGAACTCACATTGCTTCGGTTAAATTCAATCAGTCGACAAGAGTACCGTGAAGTGAATGAACGATGGCAACCACGAACGACGGGATCGACCCAGGAGCTCCCCTCGGTCCGCAAGTCATGCCGGACCAGCGGTGGGTACAGCTTACCACTACCGCCGCCTCAGCTGTCATCTTCCTTGTGGACGAGAGGATCACCCCGCCAAAGACGGACGAGTCCGCGATCCAGTAGTCACACGCACAGCACTGGCCGACCATTGCCTGGCAGCGCCTTCTCACCCTACGAGAACCGCAAAGTCTTTGAGTATGTTAACTCTGTAAATTGGACCTCATCCGGATTATATGCTTGGATAATTTTCAATCCTGAACCAGATTAGTAAATCGCATTCATTTTAAGGTCAAAGTGTGTTTGGATGGTTGGAACATCCCGTAAACTCATTCGTCAAATCGCCCAACCACCAGCACTTTCATACACAGAAATGCTAAATTTAGGTTAATGCAGTTTTAGGTCATGGTAGTTCTTTGTAAAGATTTAATGGGAAATTTGGATCTTCCCGATACAAATTTGTGAACCCTCGTTGTCGAGCATAACTTTAAAAATGCTTTCAAGCTCTAGTCTTTAGGTACTTGGGGCATTAAAGCTCTGATGTGATGTCCTGACTTTCATATCTGAGTCTGATGCAACAAATACGCACCATGTGTTCCCTGTTTATGACAGCTGGCTGCTCTAAATCATGGCTTGCAAATGGATTGTTTGAGTTTGGAACAGCAGAACAGTTTTCCTTTAGAACGCGTTAAATCAGCTACCCATCTGTGTGGTTTATAATCTCTTTTTTCAACCCTGCAACGTCTTAAAGGAACTTTACGAGGAAGCAGTGTGGTCAGCGTTTACTTTTTGGAAACTAATTTTACTTTAAATTAAGGTATCTTTGGTCCAGTAAAACTTTACAATCCGTTAAATTGTCGTCATCTCTCAGGGCAGTCTTTAGATTAGTTAAGTGCCAGTTCTGTCGGGCACCAAGATTCCTCTTTTGAAGTTCATTTACTATTAAACCATTCATAGATCTCACAAGTGTGAGCTTTTAACTAGGTTGTGAAGCGTCGTTATGGTAATTCGGTCTGGGAAGCCTCTCAGGAATTAATTTGATCGTTGGTTTTCAAATTTTACCCACCACTGCGCTGTCGGTAATGGATGCATTGTGGAACTCGAAGCTCCCTTATTCATGGAGTATAGTTTAAAACAAACCACTTAACCAGTTTCAAAATCATACTTTGCTTCTTATGTCTCAAATTTTATTCAATAATTCGGCTACATTGTAAAAAAGCGGTCTGTAAATTTTCCTTTGTTTAATAAGAGTCATTAAATGCAATTTCTACCTACTTATCAAATATGTCTTTTTCCTGTTGAAAATGGTAATCATTTGGACCTTGACATGATCATTACTTCTTTGCTACTTCACATTTTACCTTTATGGAGATCTCCCGGAGACTTATAAATAAGGTTATAGAAAAAACATATGAGGTGACCGATGAAATGACTGTCACTACAGCTTACAATCTTCTCCCAACGGGATAAAAAGCTTGTTAAAAATTCAGCTTTTACCTAACTTCTTGTCTCTCAAAACCATGAAAAAACGTAACCTTTGCTAATTTGTTTTTGTTCTCATGTTTTTTCCAACTGCTGTCTCCACTTTACACATCAAGCCTGGATATCCATATAATGTCTGGAGAAAGTGGTAAACACTTGGAAAAGTATCAACAGAGAAATGTTCAGGATGGGATGGTGCAGCCTCTGTCTCATCCCAAAAGGCAAAACTTTCCGTGGGTGAGTTTTGCAGTGTGCAGTATGAGGAATATGGTCTTGTGCTATCTTGTCAGAATAAGCAAATGGTTTTTTCAGACTCGATAGGTTTGAATATTTTTCAAGAAGAAATTTTTCTCATGCTCCATCGGATAGCGCCACATTGAGCTGGTCTTAGTGGCAGCTGTTCTGCTTTCAGCAGCTGAACACTTCATAGAAAACAATTGTGCCAGCATTACGCCACATACACGCAGAAAAAGCATGTATTCTTATGCGGTGGGGTAATGCAGACCTCAGGGGTGTGGCACAGATGGATGGGTC